AAGGTATTGAGACAACGGTCATACAATGTGATCATTGAAGACAGATGGCTAATGGGATATCAACGACTGAGAAGACAAATGATTTTAAATATATGAACCGTATTATTCCTTACAACTTAGAGGCGATTTCTCAGCTCAGTATCAGATAAAATACACGTAATTAAAAAGAATAGATAAGCACTAAAAGTAACAAAGAATATTTAATTATTTTTCTGTCGTTTTCTCGTCTATATTGAGTCTGTTGTAGTTTTCATTCATTAGCCACAAAACTGGAATGCTAACACCAATTGATGCAAGGATACTCCAACTCTCCCAGGAGACGCCTGCAAGTATACATAAAATAACAATACAAAATTTATGAAATAATAGTACCAGCAGTGTTAAAATAATCAAAGTATAGTTTCCAATTGTATACAAATGATGCATAAAAATATAAATGTCTTATTATTTTTCTCCATTGTTTGTCAATTTAATTATCAGCGATCTAAAATAACCATGCCAAATATAAAATACCCCGAAAAAGTACAAGGGGAGACAAGAGAGCAGAATAGTTTTAGAATTTATGAATCAGTTTGGCACAGTAATAGAAAGGGTCATTATACTTCAAATTATTTAAAGTCTACCTATTTTCGGGATCATCTGTACACCCAAGAAGACCAGTCCTACGACGTTTAACCATGTTGTGAGAACAACAGTGGTGATTCCCTCTGCTATAGGGTAAGTGTTTTCACATGCCATCTCAAAAAGCAGGGGTACCGTGGCGTTCATCAGCAGTGTACCCGCTATGACTGAGATGTAAATCTGGGCTGAGATATAAAACAACAACGAAAATACCAATATATCAACAGAATCTTCATCCTTAAACAAAGTCGACGAAATTAAGACAAAATAAGAACAAAGGAAAGAATTCGCGAGATCTAACGGAACTTATTTATGCAGTTCCAAGTATACTGGTGTTACGAAAAGAATTATGTTTCTTACCAATGGAGCTTGCAATGATATTGACGAGAATGAGATTGAACCAGAGGAAACACAAAAACGCCAGGCAGTACAGAAAAATCAAAATCTGTTTCATGTGCTTTGAAAACACATCAGATATTCTGAAAAATAACAAAAACATGCAAGCATCGCATAAACAAGGAGAAAAAATTTTAACGACCGGTTTCAAATAATCAAACCTAATATTTTATTATTTTAAAAATATATTACAAGCAAGAATTTCATATTTTGTAACTGATCCAAAAACAATTAATAGTACATGACGTCTCCAGTCTGGACAGGTTGGAGATGTCACGATGAGGCTTGAACGTGCCTGCGCAGTTCGCCTACATATTGTAAGTGTAATTTCACTTTTACTTCTATATCATACCTGGCCATAACGAGCGCACCTATACAACCGGCAATGATTGAGTAGAATCCTATCCATCCAGCCTGTGCCTGAATCAATACAAACCATTTCCATATTCAGCTGGCCTCAACGATAACGATATATGCCCCATTGCAATTGATTCTTTAAAAATATGTTTCTTTAACTTTATAGGCCATTGTTCTCATATTCTAACGTGACATTTCTACATGGAATTGCCTTAATTGACAGAATAGGTCGCCGATAAAGCAGAAGAATGTCACATTTTCGGAACACCTGGTCTTATCATCTTTCAATGCTATCCTGCTACATTTCTCTTTTGCACAAATTTTGTCCTCTTTAGAGTTCACATGGCAATTATAGTATTTCAATCGTTTTTGCTTGAATTTGATACGCCTATGCAAACAATTTAAACTCTTAAGAATTTATTCATGTCCATGTGTGTGTGTATAGTGAACATGAAATAATAGTATCGTGTCACTAAGCACATGAATCGTTAAGCACATTTGTTTTTAGCTATGTATGATTCGTGTGTTGCACCGTATTCCTGATACCAAATTAAGAGAGATTTTGATTTTGTTTTACTGATATTGACGCTAAATAGTGGTCATTATTCCGGTATTATAGTTAGTTATATAATGAATGAATATCATCCAATGTTCGAACGAGAAAATGCATTTAACTGTTGTTCAATAAACTGTGTTTAATATTGAATCAAATGTTCGAAAAAGTAATTATAAAATAATTTGCAAGCAATGTCAACTGTTATAAATGATAAATATTTTAGGAGGGTGGAAGAGAGGCACATATTGACAGTCAGTTAGACATTGTTCGGGAGATGATATTTTCTTCGTACAAACGACAAGTCATGACAATGGTAAAACCTTATACTGAATGGAACTACATGTACTTACTGTTTCTGGAAAATCTTAAGTGTTTGACCATACAATTCCCTTATTTACATAATGACAAGGAACTGCGTTTTTTCATTATTTTGAAATGACTGTTCACCAATCTAATAAGAAGAACTTGTCCATATTCTAAAATGCTGAATTTTGTATATCATCGCTAGAATTACCTCAGTTACATCATGCGGCTCGAGCGTAACAGACATCACACTGCCCCACAGTGACAGAATGCCCAGCGGCAGACCATATGTAACACTTATGAGTAGAAACATCTTGCTCCTGAAAACAAAAAAAAAGTTTGCAATAACTTATGTTAATCACTGTAGTGAAGCGGCGAGTAGGGAGGAATATTATTTTACTGGTGGAAACTAAAGTATCTGATGAAAGTCCACCTGGTTGCGACGGTAACACTGTACATGTACCTATTTAAACGTCCGATTCGAGGAAATAATGTATGGTCGCCAAGGTGAACCAAATGTGTGACTAGATGTATATGTACCGGGTAACCCAACTAGTTCACTATGGATAAATACACTCTGTGTGCCAACATCTTTTTTTACAAATATGTATCACTCTGAAGGACTATACACCAATAAAAAAGATCAATACCATCTGTCTTGTGAGTTAGAAAATTGAACCGAGTAGATATACTGTAATCAAAATGTATCATGTAAACAACTGACAAAACAATCAAACAATCTTCAATAACGATACTATTAAAAATATTCATATGTTTATGTGAGAATATCTCTTGAAATAAATGAAAACCAAAGTGATCATTAATTCACATACGTACCTCAAAAGTTTTTTCAATCCAGTTATAATCTGTAAACGTTCCTGAGACGCAGTATTACTAGGTGGCGTTGTGGGTTTGGAAGGGAAGTAAAACACCACAAGTAGCATTAGCAACACACACCAACCGCACTCTGTTGATAAAATCATAGTTTGGTTTACAGTATGGTCTATCATATAGGTGATTTCGATTCTCAGAAATCCCTTCAAGTGAAATAAACACATAAAAAATTAACCTTTATAACTTAATACAATATCACGACGACATTAATAATTATATCTAAAATGTAGATAGATTTATTACATGTTATGGTGAAAGTATATGTGATAAGTTTTGATATCTTCACTCATTTGTACCTATCAGATCACAACATTATCAGTGTAAATATCGATTATCCCAAAAGCATAACGGACTTCACGAACCGCAACTCGTACAATTATCTCTAGTAAACGATAGCTAGCATTTTCGTTACTCTTATGTAGTGATCCTGGTCAATTTGTGAATTTGATCTTTATAGTGTTTCATGTGTTCTTTGTACTTGCTTATGTTAATTTTTTTCATGACTTGTATCTTTCATATAGATGTAAGAATGTATACCCGTAAAATAACGATAATGTAACGCGCATGTTAGGTATAGACAGAATGGCAAAAAGATGCATAAAGGAACCATAGGTGAGATGTAATTGGTCTTGATGAATACAAGTTAAATTTCATTACACTTGTGCCGCGCAGTCGTGAAATACATCAAACTTCACACAACACTCAATATGTAATTGTTATTCATCAAAAAACAAAGAATTTATATCCCCTTTTAGCGACCGTCATTCTTTTTCATTCCAAGATTGCATTTACAGTAATAAGAAAGAAAATATCAAGACCATTTAATGGTCTAATAGTAAATACAAGTGGTATGATATGATCGTGAAAAAACAATAGTGTAATGGACACACATATCAAAAATAAAATACCAACATGTTAATACAATTTTGGTTCACAATTAAAATAGATAAAACGAGTGCACAGCCTGAACAGAACACAGATTTATTCGGGATTCATTTAAAAAATTTCAATCAGATACGATACAGTTATGTGCTTCATTATGAATTAATTGAAATAATCCAAGAGACGGCATGACAAGAACTGTTTTTAGCAACGAAACCACTTTCTTCATATTAATGTATTATTTCCGGTACTTACTCACTGACATATAGTATATAATATATATATGTAAAGAAAATTTTACCACAGTACATAGCCATCATAACGTTATCTCGAATCCTCCCTATCTCTTTGTCATCTGCAAAAAAAAGGTGTTAGTGATTAATCAATACAGTTATTACAAACGGTTGTGATCATTACTTTGTTTTAAATCTGTGTCAGTATGAATGATTTACAGCCTTATTGTGATACTGTTTATTCAAGAAGTGAACTAAACGTATAAGGATTTTTAATAACTCCAAAGAGCTTTTTGACCAATCTTCAATACCCTCTTCTAAAGAACAATGAATTTGTCCACCCTGTTCAATACCATACACCTTTCTAAAATGAAGGAACGCCTCGTTCTCTTGTTATGAGAGATTTTTTCTCCAAGAAAGGTGAACGGCGGTATCTGGTTGTAAACTATTCTGAAGCGTATTTCGAAAAGGACGAAATCATAAAAAATATCGAGTTTCTGGTTGACAATTTCTTCGTCCAGTTTGGTGGTAAGATCTTCCAATAGACTTTTGGCATACCTATTGGAACCAACTGCGCCCCTCTGGCGTATTCATACGAGGCTGAATTTATTGAAGAGCTTATCAAAACAGGTCACAAAGACCTTGCAAAGCCGTTTAATTTCACCTTCAGATGTACTGACGATGTCTTATCTTTAAAGAACAAAAACCATATTGACTACGTCCTTGGTATTTACGACATACTATTTTCCTTCAACGAA